ACATGTAAGAGAAATCATATCAAAGAACAGTTTTACTAAAAATGTAGCAAAATTTACACAAAGCCGTTGCTATTTTGTAAGTGATGAAACATATTTTGTTTGAATAATATATGCGCTTACATTATATATTTGTTTATTAAAACCTAGCTATTTATCTGGTGAATGGTTCTCTGGATACCAAAATACTGATGAACAATCAAAATGTACTGGTAAAACAAGGACGGGTAGAAAATACTTTATTTGTTTCGAATATTCGTGCGACAACAGTTCCTAATTTTGAATCGATAGGGGGAAGACATCTAGTCAATAGCACCCACCGCCGACTCTTGGGCTACTCGTATCGAATAATGAAATTTGAAAGTTACTGTTATAACACATCCACGGCCCCTATAGTACATGGAGAAATTTTGCAGCAACGGCATGTGAACCATGAACCCCAGGATTTAGAGTCCGGCGCGCTAAGACTAGGTCACGTCTATTGCAAGAAATAGATAAACCAAAAAACGTGTGAATTCCAGCTGGGAAAATATAGACAAAAATCAGCGTCAACCTGTGTTACCACAAGTTTTCTGAAACATTATGGAAACAACACAATTTTATAGAACTTATCATTATGAATTTTCAGATATATTCTGAGGTTTTTTCTGTGTGTTCTTGTATATTATTGCTCTAGGAAAAAATAGTTATTGTACTACAAGTTGAGAGAGATTCAAAAACTCAGTAAACTTACAGTTTAAGATATACTTTTAATTTTATATTAGTAACAAAGTAAATGTTTAGTGTTTAGAAGAAACTGCTTTAACAAAATGACAAGTAAACAATATAAACCTCCCAGCGACTCTGCTTTTTTAATATCATAACTGTCTTAAATCTTCCTTCGTTGTTTTCAGAAATGATCCACTTTTGTTTGTTCAGCATTGTACGCGATGATCCAAGAACTCTATATTGAAAGTGGGTATTCTACAATTTTAACTTTGTCAAGGGCATAGACTGCAAGTAAAATACTTTAGATCCAACCTGTTTTTCAGGTAACAACACCTGGTGGAAAATTAAGCAGTTTTGTGTGACAATGGAGCTTAAAATTATGTTTATTGATAAATACTGACAAGTGTTACAACTGGTTACAAATTGCCCTCTTTTGCTTTACCTATGGCCCCTTCTTTTAAACATCAGTCTTTTCTTTTGTTCTATTTTTTATACCTTTTTGATCTGGAAGTTAATGTATAAGAAACATTATCAGGGAGTGTTTATACTGAACAGTTCCTTACTTTTTTCTTATTCTGCATGTATAATCAACTGGAGCTATCATTAAAGTATACTAATGGTTCTTGAAAATTGATAGTATACCATCAAAGACGAATTTCACTTACTAAATGTATTACAATGAGTCATTTTCTTTTTAGGATGTGACGAAACGTCAAAGTAACACTGATGATAAGCGTTTCTTTAAAAAATATAAAGAATATACAATAACAGTTCTAATATACTTTCTGTGTTAAAAGCCAGTGCTAAAAAAGCCTCTCTCAGTACCAGATCTGGTCAGCCCAATGCTGTAGTGGTAACAAGAAAGTAGACAAATTAATGAGTTAGACATTAGAAGAGATAAGTGGTTAAACGCAGTTTAGCACTGTTTACCTTCAACTATATACTGTTTAGATCAGCTAGTTTAAAACAGTTGAAGCTCACCTTAAGATTTTAGGCGCTGCCCTGTCAACAACTGTTTGCAGTAAATAACCTGCATGAAATTGATTCATAGTCGTTATACGATTTTGTTCTGGGAGATCCGCACTGATCTAATGAGGTGATGTGATTAAACATTTTATTCTCAGGTAATGCCTCACATGTTATCGGAGTATTACACTTTATCTCGGTTAGATTCGCTACACTTAAAATTTAGTTTTACAGTGCCTTTCTTGAGTTGGTTAAAATCTACAAAATTCTTGAAGGATCAGGAAAAACTTGAGATTTTAAGGTGATGCATAATTTCAATGTAATTGTTAAGGTTGATGTATAGGTTAATTTTACATTAAAAAAAGCGAATTCATATAAATACCTCTAAAATTAGCAAAACCGTTCTTTAACGAGTATGTGTATAGGTGCTTTTATTTATTTTATCACATATATTAAAATCAAATTAACCTAATGTGTCTGACAGTGTTTCATGTATTCGATGATCAGATTAGTTAGTGTACAGTTGTTAAATAAAATCCTATTAGTTGTTCCATTTCTAATGTTGCAGACAGTTTTACTCACTTCTTAGTTATTCAAATCAAGAAACAAGTGTGGTCAGATTTTTTTATAACAGATTACATTGATTTAAACGATACAGAAAATTTCTAGTAAATTCTGTATTTTTTCACAACAACAATAATATTGTTGTTATAATTATGTTCACACGTCCATTTTGTACCATAAAGTATAAACTTAAATGATGTATAGAAAACAGCTTTATAAAATATTGTTACGACAGCGGAAGTCGCATGACGCTGGGAGCATGCGCGCTGGAGTTTCTCGAAGGATCATGAATTATCGAGTAACCCCGCGAATGTCCGAGTGTTTGCTAGACGCCCTCGTTTTTTAGTATATAAGCCTGGCGAGAAAAACCAGCGGTATCGGAGATATAGATAATTGAGTCAAGCGAACTGTAGGCACCGTAAGTAAAGTGTGTGAATCCCTTTGATTTATAGCGTGTGTTATACAGGTTGTTCAGTTTAAAGTGACTGTGGAAATTCTGTGTATTAGTAAAAGTTGTATCGAGAAAGAATAAACTGGTTTAATTAAGACAGGATTTGTATCGCTGAAGTTCTTCGGAAAGAATTTCTACCTGAAATTAACAAACAAGTAGATACATAACAAATTGGTGTCAGAGAGTGGGACGGAAAATAAAAAATAAATAAAAAAGAAGATGGAAACGAGAAGTGGCAAATCAAACTACGACTTAGCAGATTTGATGGCAGCAATACAAGAACGAGAAAAGAAACAAGAAGAACGAGAAAAGAAACAAGAAGAACGAAAACAATAAACAAGAAGAGAGACTACAGCAGTGGTTGGAGGAGAAAGAAAATAAACAAGAAGAAACTCTCCAACAGTTGAAAGAAAGCCAGCATACACAAATGGAAAATATTAGTACATTTCAAAGTGAATTAAATACATTAAAGGACGATTTACTGTCTTTTACACAGGGAGGATATATTAACCATGGACCTAATCAGCCCCAGACAACAGGAAACCCCGCAGCTAAACCCTAATGCAGACATCTTCATTCCTGCCAGAAGTCACATTCCAGACATGAGTGTCAGCAATAGGCGTGATCTCATATGAAGGAAGCCACAGGAATTCGATGGGAAGCATATAGAGTACAATTTGAGCTCCTTGCAGAAATGAATGGACGACAGAGGAGCAAAAAGCAGTGTACCTGGCAACGAGCCTGAAGGGAAAACCAATGGAAATACTTGGACAGTTGTCAAAAGAAGACAAGCACAACTATAGAACACTGGTAGCTGCTCTAGAACTCAGGTATGGAATTCAAAATCAGTCCGAAGTCTACAGGGCTAGGTTTAGGACTAGAGCCCATGCTGTAGGGGAGAGACTGACACAGGATTTGGAAAGTATGGCACACAATGACTA